TGGGTTAACCCCTCGTGCTCCCGCGAGCTCTGTGTCGTCGACCGCAAGAGCTCAGAGCCACTGCTTGAGCTCAGCTCATGACCCTTTTCCTACTGCCGGAAAGCGCGGGGCGTCTGATGACGCACGTCCCGATCTTTTCGATCAAAAGCGTCCACGGCGACTGGGCAATCTTGCCGAAGTGGCGCCTCAAACTCACACGAGTTTTCGGAATCGGGATATCCCCGCCACTTCACCAGATATTGGGTTTGACCCTGGTGATGACGTCGTCCAACAAGACGTTACACGTGATAGTGGACGTCACCATTCTTATCGAGAAGGGTCGGTGGCGGGCGGTGACAACCGCATCGACCGCCGTCCGGTGACTCGTGATGCTTTTCAAGCCCTTGAGGACGAGGTCCTTCGTGATCGGAGCTCCGCTGAGCGTCATGCTGAAATAGCATATCGCTGTGGAAACGCTCTTGACGATTTAAAGCACGTCGTGCGCCAGCTGCCTCTCCTTGAGGAGTACCACTCTCTGTCGGAGCGACTTCTAGCCGTGGAGCAGGCGAATGCATCGCTGCAGGCAACGGTGGAGCGCTTGGCTCTATTGAAAATGGAGGTTGTTGCACTCCGCGCTCAAAACCAGTTACTGGTTCAGCTTCTGGGTGGCCGAGAACCCGTGATATCCGCTCCGGCGCCAACGCTTCCGCGTTCACTTGCGCCGGATCCCAGTACGGCTTGAGCAAGCCAACGTAAAACACCGGGTGGGTGCGCATCCGTTTGGGAAGGTTTAGCGTATACGCTGGGCCCCGCTTGGTCACAACCTTAAACGGTCCAATAAATCGTGGACAAAGCTTCGTCCGGAAGATAGCAGAGGCTGTATGTGTAGGCAGGTTTTTAGAATTTAATAGAAACAGGTCCCCGACCTTAAAGCTTTCCACTTTGCCTCTTCCTTTTTTATCTGCATGTTTTTTTGCAGGTCTCGGCTTCAGCCATCGCATTGCGAACGTGTCGTAGGACACTCAGTCTGGTAGACAAGAAGTCA